GACTTGGCAATCTCTACTTCAGGAACTTGCTCAGAAAGACCTTCACTTTCATTCCTCTTACTATTTACTTCAAGTGGGTATAAGTGACCTACCGAGCGAGTGTACTCTGAATTGCCTACTTTTACTTTTGCTATTCGACACTCCCCATCAGCTCCACGAGTCAATGAAATTATTTTTCCTACCTTCCACTTATTTCTGTTCTTGACATCACTTTTGATTTGAACTACGTCACCGACCTCTGGCATATTACTATTTGTTACTCTGGGCTGCTTTGGACTGTAATTGTATTTTTCTCTAAGACTGAATAAATATTGAGTGGTAAACATTTTTCTAAATTCTGCCACGATCTTGTGTCCTCTTATCCAACCTTCTATTAGGGCTTGTTTTGTCGATGTACTTCCAGATGGTATATTTTCATTTAACGGTTCCAGAGCAATGCATTTCCCCAATGAAAGAAAATCGGCTGGTTTCAATATTTGTTCAGGCTCCGAGCCAACACATGTCAGGGGTCGACTATTCAAAACAGACTCTATTTCTTTGACCACAGTAAGTAACTGTGTTTCCCTTAAGAGATGTTTATCCAGGGTCCTCTTCATACAATGTTTGACAAGTCCAACCATCCTTTCATAAAAACCCCCATGCCAAGGTGCTAGTTGCGGTATAAACTTCCACTTGATTGTATCTGAGACAACTTCTGCGGTCAGTTTAAAAAGGGTTGCATTGTCTGTCATGATTACCACAGGTTTTCCCCGATTCGCAACAAAGCGTCTTAAACCTAGTAGACACTCGTCGGCAGTTAAATCTTTCACTATTTCCATATGGATGGCTCTCACAGCTAAGCAGGTAAGTAAACATACCCATCTCTTTTCCTTGCCTATTTCTCCAATGATGTAAAGTGGACCAAAATAATCCATACCGGTGTAGGTAAAAGGGGCACTTAAATTAACTCGTTCTGCTGGCAAATCTGAGGTTGGCGGTAGCTTATAGGGACCCCCTCCATGCTTCATGCAATTCTCACAGTGTCTTAATATCTTTTGTACTTGCGCTCTTCCTTGAGGTATCCAAAACTTCTCTCTTATCAAGCTTAACGTATGCGACACGCCCACATGATAGTTTTTCTCATGGATTTCTTGTATCAATTTGCTTGTGTACTCACTATCTCTAGGGATGAGAGCAGGATGTTTGGTATCGTAAGACCAGTTGGTGTTAGCCATCCGTCCACGGCATCTCAACACACCGTCCACATCAAGATACAAACCTAAATTTCTGGTGAGATGCGTTACTTTACCTTCAACTTCATTAGGAAAATATTTTCTTTGCAGTGCCTTCACATTTTTCACCTCCCGAGTATTCTCCAGCTGGTAACAACCTTGTTTTGGTGAGCTACACCCAGTGAGTTCATTTATATCCTCTTCGTCATTAGTCATCATTGTTATATCTGGACATAGTCCGTCCAGACTCTCCCCCAACACACAAGACGATTCCTCACTTCCAAGATACATACTTTGTGGCCATTCACTTTTGTCCTTAAGTAGAAATGATGGACCTTGGAACCACAAGTGATTTTTCTCTGTCCAAAGGTCAGGTCGTGTTGCTACATCAGCAGGATTACTGTCTGTGTTGATGTAGCAAGGCTGGATTTCTTTGTTTTGCCTGATTGTATTGATTCTTCTTGAAACAAATGGTGGTAATAATTTATTTGATTTCATCCAACCCAAAACGATCATACTGTCTGTCCACAAGTATTGATGTTCAATTGTTAGTCCAATCACATTTTTGACATACAAAATTAGTTTACTTCCAATATAGTATCCGAGTAATTCCAATTTTGGAATTTTCAAGCTATCTTTGTCTTGTTTTGGTGTAATTTTAGACTTGGATATTAAGAAGGCTACCTTGGTATCCACTCCATTACTTGAACGTAAGTAGAGAACTGCAGCATAGGCATCTTTTGATGCATCTGTAAAACAGTGTAATTCATATGTGACTGTTTTTTCTTCTGGTGCAATACACGCAAATCGTGGTATAGCTACATTTCGAACCATCCTTAAACTGTCAGCCACTTCATCCCATTTCTGTTTTAACTCCTCAGGTAGTAGTGTGTCCCATTTGAGTTTATTTTCCCACAGCTGTTGGAGTAACAATTTAGCAGGTAATATTAAGGGTGAACAAAATCCACAAGGATCATATACTGAAGCTATAGTGCTAAGTACTTCTCTTTTACATTGAATTTGTTTAGTATTTTGTTCATCCAGTAAATTCTCTCTTATTTTTAGACGCAAAGTGTCTTTTTTAGTGTCCCACACTAAACCCAACATCTTGGTTTCTGCAGAAGTCTTTGCTCTGTACTCTTGTGGAATTGTCTTAAGGAAATCAGGACTGTTAGAGTTCCATTCACGGATATTCATTGACAAATCTTGGAAAACTCTCCTTGTGTCCTTGTAGAACTTTTGCGCTTCTTCTACTGTTTTTGATCCTGTCACAAGGTTATCTACGTAGCATTTATCGGCAATCTTTGACAATAAGTCTGGGTAGTTTTGTGAAATATGGTAGTTTATTGTAGCAGTTAGTATGAATGGACTTGAAATAATCCCAAAAGGCACTCTACAAAATCGCAGGTGTAGTAAATTTTCTTTAGAGATTGGTTGATTTACATGTTTAAGCCATAGAAATCTTGTGACATCTCTGTCTTCTATTTGGAGACCTATCTGAAGAAAGGCCTTTTCTACATCAGCTGTAATAGCAATTTTATAAGTACGAAATTGTAGCAGAATTGCGAGTAAGTCTCCAATCAAAGAAGGTCCTCTATACATGCACTCGTTCAAACTTTTATGATTTTTTAGTTTCCCTGAAGCATCATACACCAACCTTCCTTTTTTCCCTTCTTGCTTGACTATATGATGGGGTAGATAGTGCAAAGGTGGAATTCTTTGTCTTGTAGCATCATCCTCAGGTTCGACTAATTCTATAGTGCCACTTTGCAGTTGTGCTTTGAGAATTTGTTCATATTCTTCCAAAGTATTTTTATCAATTCGTTGTAGCAGCCCCTTCAACCTTCCATATGCTAGTCCAAAATTAGTAGGTATTTCTGGTGGGTACTGAATCCAAGGCCACTTAATCATGTATCTTTGATTTACATACTTGACATTGTTGTTGAAGTGTTTTACTGCTTCATCTTCTCTTGTAGCCTTAGGAGAATCTAAGATCCCTATGCTTTCTAGTGACCACAAAAATGTCAAATCTATATTTCTGAGAGGAAGGTCAGGCTCTGTGTAGTACATACATTCTGGGCCATGGCATTGACAATAAGTAATTATTGATAATATATTTTGATCATCTGAATCAAGTTTGCCACTTAATATCCAACCAAATTCAGTATTGATTAAAAACAAATTGTCACACAATTTCTTACTTTCTGATTTAAAGAATGAAAAGTAATAATCATTTCCAATTAAGATATCTATTTTCTCTCCCGCAGAGCCATCATCAGCTAATAAATCAACACATATTTTCTTATCTACTTTTGGCACTGATATTCTGTTTGTGATGTGAGGTACTACATTTGCTCGTATCTTTCTTGTAGTTTCTCGCCCAGTCTTTAATTCAATTTTAACAGAAGGACTTTCAGTTTGTGTAGGTGATTCTGACCCAAAGGTAAATATTATTAGTTGGTCTACTTTATCAATAACTAACTTTAGTTCATCTGCTAATTGCTGTGTGATGTAACTTCGTTGGCTGCCACTATCTAATAGTAGCCTACATTTTCTTTCCTCATTCTGACTCTTTATAGTCACCACTGCCGTCTGCAAAAATGAACTTTGGTTAAACATAGAACAGCAATTTGTTTCTAATTTGTAGTCGGATAATTCCTTACTCCTTACGGCAAACTTCTTTGGGCACAAGGCTCTATTGTGTGTACCCTTGCAATGATAACATGGTTTCTTCATATTGCAATCTTTTATGAAATGTCCTATCTTAAAGCAAAGGTGACATCTTGGTCCTAGTTTCTTTCTTCGGGCACTCATAGTAGAAAATTTTGAACAGGTGTCATTATAATGCGGGCCCTCACAAAACACACATTGTCCTTTCCATCGTTTTGAAATTGTATCTTGCTTTCTAAACTTGGAGGGTAGTCTGCGCTTCTGTATGGTGTTACTTTCTCTAGATGGCCTACCACATTTTACAAATGCTTTCCTTTTCTCTTCTTTAATAAATAAAGCATCAGTTGTTGTTATGTCTATGTCTGCCGTTTTCGTCGGTTCACTGTGAAGGGGGAATATCTTCTGTGACAGCTCCATAGCTGTGATTATTATTTCTAATTGGTCCCGGATGATCTTTACCGAATCAGCTCCTTTTAATGCCATATTTAATTCATAGATTATTTTCTGTGGGAACTTGCTCAATATTGTAACTCTAAGTTGGTTGTTATTAATATCTTCTCCGAGAGATTCCAGGATCCGTAAATTCTTGTCAATGTTATTCAAAACCTTTCTACATTCAGTAGCTGATGAACCAGCCATTGTAACTTTCTGGAGTTCTTCATAATGGGAGTCTATTAACATATTTTTATGTCCAAACCTTTTCTTTAGGTTTCAATGACTATTTTATAATTCTGGTTTGTTATGCCTATACCTTCTACAGCTTCTCTTGCTGTACCTTCGAGTGATGCTAACAAGTATGACAGTTTATCAACATCAGGTAATGACTTGTTATGTATACCAGCCTCAAATTGATCCCAGAAATCATGCCAGCCTAAAATGTTTCCATTGAATTTAAGAAGACTGAGCTTAGGAAGTTTAGTCTGTTGGGTTGTTTCTGGTTTCTGAGAATCGATATGATTTAGAATTGAATTAAGTGCAATTATCTTATCCTCCGCTTCTAACTGCAACACTGTGCATCGTCTCACAATATCTTGGTTAATCTCAGTACTTTTTTCAATGTAAATATGAATTTCCTTCGCAACATTGGCTGTATGAGCCCGTAACGAATTCAATGCAATGGAGATTTCCTGCTCGGTAACACCCTCGCTTTTTGACTGTACGCATAACTCTGTTGTAAGAGTAATTGAGTCATTTAGGCGTTTTAGTAGCAATTGTAGGCGTAGAAGTAAAGCGTCCTCCATCTTCAAGTTAAACTTCGTAAAAACTTACTTAAATGCCTAAAATACCGGTAATACTTTGAAATCTTATAAGAATTTACAATTCTGAAGTCTTTAAACTTTATTACAATTAAAGCAATCACTATTCGCACAGTATTAACAATTTTCAATTTTCGAGCACAGTAATACAACATCCAAACGAAACATTTTATATGAAAAGTACAGGGAACACGTTTCCGGTTACGCAACAAATGCAACTTCTTAGTAGAGGAAATTAAAAGTCATCTCCTTTCTGTGAAATTCACGTTTCCCCCACGGCTCTTCATTTGGTCGGGTTAACAATCGTTTAAAAGTATTGCCACTTGAAAATAGTAAGTATTTCCGGTTGACATTCGGATACATACTATTCATGTGGTTAAAATTTCAAGGTCATTCGTTTTAGAACGTCAATGAACGCTTACCTTGGTAACGGACTATGTATTACTACAATAAACAGGAATATATAAAATAGAAAATACATATTTTTGCTTATTTAGGTGCGGGGGTAATCAATAATGGGCACAAAAACATCAAAACTATTTTTATTTTTAACACGTCTTTTCGCACTAAGTTATTGAGTCGAAATTTATTCCACTACGACGCCATAGTAAATAAGAATGATACCTTCCAAAAGGTTATTCATTTCTAAGTTCCGTCGTCTCACATCAATTACTTGACTTATCAGTATTTATCATACAAGTTTGGCTAAATTTACAATATAATAATCAGGTTGACTTTTGGTCTAGACTTCAGAACTTCAATTGTGACCGCAGTCCCCCACATACATATGGGGTTGAAACTTTGGTCTCGGCCATCCCCGAACGAATCAAGGTCCACCGACTTCATGACTTCTTCGTTGACCGCAGTCCCCCACAAACATATGGGGTTGAAACTTTGGTCTCGGTCATC